GCGACGCCCGGTGTGACAGGGCAGGCTGGTTGTTTCGCGACGCCCGGTGTGACAGGGCAGGGTGTGGTTGTTTCGCGCTGCCCGGTTTGACAGGGCAGGGTGTGATTGTTGCGCGATGCCCGGTGTGACAGGGCAGGGTAGGATCGTTTCGCGACGCCCGGTGTGACGGGCCAGGGCATGATCGTTTCGCGATGCCCGGTGTGACAGGGCAAGGCCAGGGTTTCGCGATGTTCGGTGCGACAGGGCAGGCTGTTGTTCGTTTGCGACCCAACACGCGGAACATCCAGGCCCTAATCCCCGTTACTAAGTTCGCCATGAACTTTTCCCCAATAACCAAGTCCAAAAAGAAATAAAACTTCAATATAAAGACTAAGTAAAGAAGACCGCCAAGTTTAACGCGTAACATTGCCAAAGATAAGCAAGTCTCCAGTCAGGTCGTGAGACATGCTGCCCGAATTGCAGGAAGGGTCAGGAGGGAAGGAGCAAAGGACGAGGAAGAGAGTCAGTTCAGCCTCGGGGAGACATGCCAGGATAAAAGAAGTTAGGACGGCGAGATCATCTGGGAACATGCGGATTAGGCTTAAGGATTTAGAGTTTAGGGTTTAAGGTTTGGGGTTTGGGGCTTAAGGTTTCGGGTTCAACTCGGTAATTCCTTTGTCTAGCAAGGTTCCCTGGGCTTATTTCTTGAAAGCTGTTGCAACATCACTTTTTTGTGTTAGACGAGGTGCACGGTACGCCCAAGGTGATGCTTATTTTCCTTTAGTAAGGGGGTCGAATGGTTGTAGGGTTGAAGGAGTGACTGATATACTTAAGTACAGTTTTCATTCCATTTTCTGTTTTCATGTCATTGTGGTTTTCCAGTGCTCTACCCAAAACCTATATGTACCTAGCTCAGGACGAGTATTTGAATGTTTCCCTTCCTAGTTGCAGTAAGTGGTTCTCAAGCTCATCCTTGGACACATCCTTTATCTCCGTTTGGCCTTGAACGGCAAAGGCTTAGGTTACCTGCCTGTCCCATAAATCACGAGAGATCCTTTACATGGC